TATTTTTTATTTCATTTATAGGATCAACATAGTGGAAAATTGTCATTCACTTGATTTTATTTCTGTGAAGTGACAGCTGATTTATAAATTATTTAAACTACTGTGAAATACTTTATTAGTCCCCGTTCAGACGCAGTTCGAAAACGGGGACTTATGTTTTGACCCTTGTGCATCCGTGCGTGCGTTCGGACCTGTATCTTAGAAATGCCTGGACGAATCATAATCAAACTTCACACATACATCATACATGATATTATACTGTTACATATGCACATCAATTTGTTTCACGATCTGATTCAAGATGGCCGAATGGCAGCCATTTTTTTGTTAAAAAATCATCATAATCAATCATTTCTCGGCTGTTTACAGATGGATTTTGTTCAAACTTGGTATATACATTAGACATTATAGGACCTTGATGCAAACAATTTTATTTTTCAGATCAAATTCAAAATGGCTGACTGGCTGTCATTTTGTTTTAATGAATGGGCTTCTAGACCCATATTTCTGACTTGCTTTGACTGATTATGTTCAGATTTTTAATATGCATTATACATCATGTCATAGATATACAGATATTTTGGTTTGACGATCCTATTCAAAATGGCCGATCCTATTCAATGGTGGCCATTTTTGTGCTAAAAAAATCATCAAATATCAAGCTGGAATTTTTTGCTAAAAAGACTTTTTGGGTGTTTTGTATGGAATTTATTGATTTTTGGAGAGTTGAAATATAAGAAAAAAGGTATATTAGCAGGATTTTATTTTAGCGAAAAATAAATTCCAAGCAAAAATAAAGTATTTTACAGTATTTACCTATTTACAGTATTGTTTTTATACTAAATAGATTTAATTCAATCTTTCACTTCAGCAAATTCTCTGTCTGGTAGACCCTTGTGTACCTTAGCAATGAATAGAAGATACGAATTGCTGTACAACAGTGGCATTACGTTTTTACATGCTGGCCGACCGCTAGCTGCGTTTGACTGTCTGATTGAAGCCTTGCAAATCTACCATTGTAATGCTAGACTGTGGTTACGGATAGCGGAATGCTGTGTTGCTGCTAATAAAGGGGTGAGTCTACTGACCTTGGTGATACATGGGTGAATTTGTTGGATATGCTCTGCGAATGATAAATTAAATGAGTGATGATTTCATGTTAACATTTTCCACATAACATATAGTTGAGGACTGTATAAGTTATACAAGTTATAATAAACTATTTATGTAAAAAGCCATCAATCAGTCGTATATATCTCAAAATTATTGTACAGAAGCATGACGTTTACAAACTTGTATCAACAATTTATGTATGGGCATTTCTGTGCAATGCTTTGAGCTCTGATTATTCAGCTATTTGAGTAATGTTTGTACCCGACTTTTATAACTGGTATATCATTATTATAGATCTCTTGTATATTGTTTCAATTTATCAAAACTGTTCATTAAAATGTCTGACATCCTGTTATTATACTCAACTAACAATACATTTACATTTATTTATTATTACATTACGTTGTAGAGTTCTGAAGAAGAGATGAAAGGCTTACCATCGGCGCCCAGGAAAGGTATCGTACAAGATGTGATAGGAACCAGCAACCACAGGAAGATTGTTTTGACTTCGGGCTCATTGGATAACAAATACAAGTAAGATGTAGTACAGTAATTCAAACATGCTCAATGTACCGTCGTAGTGTGTATCACTTGTACTAGTTATCTGTAAATTGTGATGTTTGTCATACCTTCACTTGTATGCACTTGTACTTTGTATATTAACTGTTGCCACTTGTTTAAGACACTTGCAAAAGTTCCTAATAGTATTGTTAATCGTTTAGGAGACTTAAAATTTGGAGACGTGTAATATTACAGTCCGAATATGGGCGTGTGTTGTTAATATATTCATTCTAGCATGTGCATTTGCTTCATGATCAGTTTCAAGAATGTCAAATATGGCCATTTTAAGATGAAAAATGCATCAAAATTAGACATTTTTACCATTCCGGAACTAGATCTCAGTTGTGCGTGGATGGATTTGTTTTCAACTTGATTATCATTACTGTAATGTCATTTAATATGTTTATTCTAGTTGTGATGGTCAGTCAGCTGCCATGCCAGTTGCAACTTTGCAATTTGCTGCTATCTGTCTAAACAATGCACTCTCACTGCTACAAGAGCAAGAGGCAGCGATGCCTGGTGCAGCAGTTTCAAACAGAAGAAGTAGCGACTCTGAACATAGTCAGGGAAATGAAGCTACGTAAGTATAATATTTGTAATGAGTAAATGTGTAAACACTGTATGAAAACAAACTTTCAATGCAGACGCAAGTAACGTCACCATGGTAACAAGATTGAAAAACATTATTTTACTACAATGTAAATTTACATTTTAATTAGGTCAATTCCTGATTCTGAATTAATAGGGTTTGTGCATATTGTGTGACTTGAGGTCAAAAAACCAGCAAGTAGGACAGAATGTTCCAAATGCACAGAGTCGCTGTACTCACAGTTTCCGAATCTCAGCGTGAAATATTTTCATAATTTTGGAGTTGAAATATTGACGTGGTCATATTTGCTCAGCGAAATACACATACGTTCTTCTCTGTTTATTTTCTCTGGTAATTAATGTTTCTCGTCTTGTATAGTTTATCTAGCTGTCCCTGTTTGTACCCACCCGCACTCAATCCATGATCTTTTAAAAGCTTTTTTTAATATGCCCCTGTCTTTTTCAAGGGTTCCTTCATAGTTTTGTTCTACCTATGTCCATTGCTAGGTAGGTTATGTATGAGCAAAAAAGTATTACATCGCATGTGTCAGTAAATCAGAAAATCGTGAGATTATTTATACGGTACTTGGTAATTTTTGACTCCCATAAATTCTGTATTCATGTCAGTCATCCTGGATGGTCGGCATCATCAAATGTAGAACATTGTACTAGTAAATATTGTTTTTTTTATTATAAATATACTTGTCATGTAAACTTGTGTTGACAGTAAAGCTAATGTACCAGCAGGAGCCTCGGCTCCACCAGGTGCTCCATTGAAGCAGTATGAAGTGGAGAGCTTGAAGTGCTCTATACTGGCGAACAGTGCATATGTGTGTCTTGGACTGGGGGACGTCTTAACTGCCTTGGAGCACTCGATTAATCTTCTCAACCAACCTAAGTTATCCGGTTCACACAAGTGAGTATTAGACATATAAACATTCTGCTCTGAACCCACAGCCTCCCTGATGTGAAGCCAACATGCTAGGCAGATAACTGTCTAATCTGTTCATTTCATGGCAATATTGTTAATTCTGTACTTTTAGCCTATATTTTAATCATATTTGGGGTAAAAAAAGTTATTTTCGACTTCTTGAAAACTACCATTGGGGAAATTGGGACCTGCAGATATACCGCTGTCTGTGCATTTAGCTGAGACATTTAAATAAATATTTAAATGAATGGTTTACTAATTGATGTTGTATTAAACTAATTTAACTGTGATTTCAGATTTCTTGGTCACCTATATGCAGCTGAGGCTTTGGTATCTTTAGACAAAATATCTGACGCTATTAGTCATCTTTCCATTGACAGTATTACAGATGTATCTGTAACCTATCCTGGTGCACCAGAAGTATCTGGTAGGACAATGCTTTATTTACAGTGTTAACTCGACACAGCATGGATTCTTTTCAGATGTACATTTGTAGATGTACAAGAGAAACTTGTCATGCTCTCATTTGAATATTAAACTTTTCACCATCAAACTTTCTTGCCAAAATTTGTCTGCACTCTTTTCTTATTTTCAATTTTTCGAAATTGAAACCTAATGTTGGGGCCGACAAACAAAAATTTGAGTCAATTTTCAGTTTTTACCCAAAAAATTTGGTTATATTTGTCCCAATCTTCTGAAGGAAAATGCAAATGAAACTATTCTGTGAAATTGTGATGGAAAGAGGGAACTGGTGGTGAAAAGGTTAATATTGTGTCCTATTTTGCCATTTTTTTAAAGGCTGTGTATCGTGAGCCATGATTTAGTAGGATGACCTTGTCAAATTATACCAAGCAATGAATGATTCATATTTTCCAATTATCGTCTGACATTTTATTTTGTAATCACTTTTCTGCAGGTGATAAAGGTGGTAATGATATCGGCGGTAGTGAAAACAGTGGTGATGTTTCCGAGACGCCGACTGCAGTGACGCGATATTTCCCAGCCAGCATACAATCAGCTAGAGCTACTTTCTTATTCAACTTATCCACGTCATACAGTCTTCGTAGCGAGTATGACAAAGCAAGGAGAGCTCTCCAACAGGTATGTGTCAGTCCCTGAATTCTTTTAGGTTTTGTCCTAGTGTCAAATAAAACATATTTTCTACACTGCATTGAACATGTATGCAATAAGAAGGCCTGTATAGTCTACAACATTCTGGTTGTGTTCCCGAGACCAGGAAAGTATACATTTTGGACTCAGAATAAATAAACTTCGCCACTCAATAACAATTCCTGTGAAATAGACCACTGTGAAATGTCAACAAAACCATAAAGAACTAAATCTGCCTTAATATGAAAAAATGTTCAAAGCTTTTGTTGTGTTATTTGCTATTTTCTGGTGAAAAAAGATCACAAAAGTTTTTATACTGGTTTGTTTTTATCAAATAATTCATTTCTTAAAATTCGCTGTGATAATCGTGGTAGTGTGATATGAGGGAAGTTATGATTGTAAACCTATTTTCAAATGAACATATTCCCTAAACACATTGGGTTTTGTCACTTGTTTTGTAACAATTTCACTGTGATGTGACCTAGTTACTATGAATTGTGGTTTGCTTTATTTGAGATTTATATACATGTACTGTGTTTATTACAGGCATGTTCACTGATACCAGCAAGTGAAATTCCACAACAAGCACTCATATTAGCAGTCTATTTAGAACTACAGAATGGTGAGTATTGTTACAAAATATTCAGCTCCCTACTAGGATTTGAATGTGCTATGCTATATAAAAGTCAAATGGACTATCCATGTGGTTTGCACAATTTACATATACGAAAGGTTGTCATGATACGAAAATATTAATAATTTTGTTTATGTGCATAATAATTTTCAGAATACTTTGATTCCAGTGAATGTAAATATTAGGTCATTGTAAAAATTATACATCAAAAATCTATTACAATATTGCATTACAAAAAACCCCGCAAGTATCATTTCTCCCATAAAGCACCACTGTTGTATAACCAATGACAAGTTGCTGCCATCCCATGTGACATATACCCTACATCACATGTACATTCATTGTTCTTGTACACGATTCAAACTAATCATGTGTGTGTAATGACAATTACTACATGTATATACACTGAGAGTCACAACTTCAAACACTTCATTTCTGTGGATGTCTATCTCTTACACAAATGCATTTGGTGATGAGAAGAATTGATTTAGAACTCAATTTAAATTTTTAACGAATATATTTTCTTTCTTGCTACAAGGTAACTTCCCGCTAGCTTTACAAATGGTGAAGAAAAACCAGCTACTGCCCTATGCAAAAATGAGTGATTCCCGGCATGGTGGACAAGTTACCCCTACTATGGGCGTCATTGGAAGAAAATCAGTTCGAAAATAACAGTCATGAATTTAGTCAAGCATGAAAATTATCAAAAGAATTTTCTTCCATGTATTTTTTTTTCAGAATTGTACAAATGCCCAAGAACTTTTTAGAAATTTAATTTGTAATTTACAACTTCTTGTAGATTTTTTTGTTCTCAAGTTTGTTTTCAAAAACATTTTGAAATGTTACTGGTATAAATTTTCATTTTCAGTCTTGAATCTATGTAGTGTTTCTCACTGCACTAATGCCTTGGGACAGGATAATATATCTCATTCATTCTGAAGTCACACACATGGTGATTTTGAAGGAAATAAATATTAATTTACATTAGCCAGTTTAAATGCTTAAATTTTTCATTCAAACGAAGATCATTAGCTGTCCCCACAATCAAATTTTACTTAGAATCAAACCCATGTGGAGTGGCATATATCCACATAGATTCTATCCTTGTTATTCTTTAAATTAACATTTCCGTGAGGAATTTTTTTGCTTGCTGTGATGTCAGCAGTTCTACCACTTTGAGACTACGCTGCACTGATAGTGGTACAGATATGTAATGTACTCCTACTAATAAATATGGTTTTAATTACGAAGAAATTAAAACATAATTGTAAATGTGAAAAAGATGACTTGTTTCAGTATGTGTGTTTCGATGTCAATGTGAACATTGTGTTTGGAAATTATTGAATGGCAGTTATTGTGGTATGCATTCATTGCATAGTTTTGGTGGTGTGCATTCATTGAATGACCTATGTGGTAATTGTTATGGTTTATATTCATTGAATGACCTACATGGTAGTTTTGATGGTATGCATTCATTGAATGACCTACATGGCAGTTTTGGTGGTGTCCATTCATTGACGCGTGTGGTGGCTGTGACAGTATATGTTTATTGAATGGCCAGTGTGGCAGGTGTAATGGTATACATTTATTGAGTGACCTATGTGGCAGTTGCATGTTGTGCATTCATTTAATGACATACATGGTAGTTTTGGTGGTATACTTTCATTGATTGACCTATGTGGCAGTTATAATAGTATGTGTTGCGGGTGTCAATATGACAATTAACACAAGGCAAACTTTACAAAGAAAAACGGGTTCTTTATTTCACAGAACGGAAGAGGAGATGTTGCTCCTTCACTGGCTTGGTACAATCTGCCTTTTAGTTTACTCTAGCTGTATATTGTTTCAACATTCTGTTTACCTAGTTACATAACAAAGTGACTCACAAGTTTGTACTACACATGCTCTATCAAGGTTATTATTAAATTCACTAAGCTAAAATGATCTCGCATACACTCGTGAGTAAATTCACAGGTAATACAGGCTAATACTTGTGCCAAATTATAACAATATATTCAACGTAAGGCAATTTTGTTAATTATTTTTGTAAGTGCCCGGTTAGTATCATTGTTATACCCGTCCTAAGGTACAAATGAAATATTTTAAAGACTCAAATCAGTGACAAATTCTAAAATGTAATTATTACTAAAGTGAATGATCTGTGCATGTAGGGTACGAGTCTGTTACTGGGTAATGTCAGGAAATTAGTTGAGTTATATACGCTGGTTGTTAGTTGGTTCATCTCGCTGTGTAGTTGTGGTTATTTAATGATGAAACACTTTTGATGAAACATTTTTGAAATTAAGTGACTCGTGCCATGCGTCATTATACAACAATTGTCGCATAAACTGCCTCATTTTGGCAATTACTTGTAATGTCGACTCTAGGTGGCGCAGTTTGTACAAATGCATTTTCTTTTATCTGGTTTAAAGAGGAGAGGTGCACGTTAGTCCCAAGCGACGATAACAAAGCAAGCTAAAACGCGAAGGCTCATAGGTAGACGCTTGTTTGTAAAAAAAAAAAAACGACATGCTATGGTCGTCTGCCGCATGCGCAGGTGACGACTCCCCCGCTTTAAGGTAGAAGCCTAATTGGTCAAAAATCGCATTACAATGTTCATTGGTTTATTATAAAAAAAAATCATGGACCTATTGTCCCAAGGCACCATGAAATAGCATTCTTTTGTGTGTTACATGCAGTGACGTATTTTGAGAAACTTGTCCTATTATTTTCCAAGAACTCTATTTTCAGAGCAATTCCATGGAACACAGCTTACATAATATCTCTGCCATAGGAACCTGTGGTATAATATTATAGTATTATAATACTGTAAAAATGGCCAATATTCACTAAAATTACAACCATCATTTTCTCGAAAATTAGGGTGGTGATCCCTCACTAAAGTCAATATCCTTATATTGCCCGGAAGTACAATTTATTGGAAAACAAATAAATTCTGAGTGTTTGCATTTGCATTTCTACCTTAAGCTGTTCGAACAAAAGAAAGCGCTAATATATTGCGTCCAACAAGTCGCCGAAAAAAACAACCTGTGGAAATCGTGCATAATTTTAACTTTCTCGCTAGCTGCCAAATGTGCCATTTAACTGGATACATACGTATCAAGTAACCGTGGTAGAGCCATAGAAGATAGTAGTCCTACCTTTCATGGTATTTGTACCTACTTCATATATCGTGTTGTAAAGCACTTACAATTGGACTGACCAAGTGTATCAATTCACCTATATCAGCAAGGCCAACAAAAATTATCTATAATTATAATATCTCCAGGATCGAGATCGTGCTTACAGGAAAAAAAAAATCAGCATTTTTGTTCAAAATCGTGACAGATAAATTATTCTAGGCACTTTTTAATCAGATTTTGTACTTGACTGGATTCATTCAAAACATCTTTTCAAGAAGATAAGTTTGTATTTGTTGTGGTTTTGGCACAACAATCCATCAACAAATGAACTTTGGTTATTCTGATGTGTTGCGTAATTTACACTTGAATGTGCTTTTTACGTTCATTTCTATTGTTCTATTTAAGTATCAAAAAAAAATGCAGACACCGTTTTGGAGAGAAAAAAAAAGTTGATGCGTTTATTCCAAAAAATCAAAACAATCGGTCAAGGGCGTTGAAGTAGATATTCACTAAAAAATTGTAAGATGCGATGAAAAGCACCTCCATGAAGGCGCGACAATGTCATATAAATCATTTTCGGATAATTATCGTCTAATAAAATCTAATGAAATGTTGGCAGAGATGTCTAACTTAGACATTTTTAGACATTATTAGACGCCCAGACAGACCTGTCTAACTTAGACATTTTTCGACGATATTATCGTTAATATCGGAGAAAAACGAACTGTCCCAATAGTTGCCCAGACAGACCTGTCTAACTTAGACATTTTCAGACATTGTTAGACAATATTATCGATAATGTCGGAGAAAAACGAGCTGTCCCAACAGTTGTCCAGACAAACCTGTCTAACTTAGACATTATTAGTTAGTTTCCCGGACAGACCTGTCTAACTTAGACATTATTAGTTAGTTGCCCAGACAGACCTGTCTAACTTAGACATTGTTAGACGATATTATCGATAATATCGGGAAAAAACGAGCTGTCCCAATAGTTGCCCAGACAAACCTGTCTAACTTAGACATTATTAGTTAGTTGCCCGGACAGACCTGTCTAACTTAGACATTTTTAGACATTGTTAGACGATATTATCGATAATATCGGGAAAAAACGAGCTGTACCAATAGTTGCCCAGGCAAACCTGTCTAACTTAGACATTATTAGTTAGTTGCCCGGACAGACCTGTCTAACTTAGACATTTTTAGACATTATTAGACGATTTTATCGATAATATCGGAGAAAAACGAACTGTCCTAATAGTTGCTCAGACAGATCTGTCTAACTTAGACATTTAGACATTATTAGAAAAAAATGCAGACACCGTTTTGGAGAGAAAAAAAAGTTGATGCGTTTATTCCAAAAAATTGTAGACGACATTGTAGACGATAATGTCGGATAACGTTAAAAAGTGCAATGTCGCGCCTTAAGAAAAGTAAAATGCGTTAAATTGACTGATTTTTATAATGACTGTAATGTACTATTTTCAATCAGCCCTAACGCATTTTTATTTTCAAATACTTGTCAAACGTTACGTATAGTCATTTAATTGTATAGACATTTCTCATATAGATTGTACGTGGCCATAAATAATCACGTGAAAAAACATTTTCTCAGCATTATGATAACATATATATTGCCATAGCTACCTTAATAATGAGTGGATAATGCCTAATTCACATATAAACAATTGTTTTCCAATGTTGATACCTGTGATGAACATTGGAGTTATTTATTGAAAATATGTACCTGAAACGCAGCGTACAGTTCGGTGTCATGTACTACATGTAGGTCGGAAGCATACAGTACTAAATAAACATATGTCAGTTGGCTCGTCACATTGTTGAACTGTGGACCTATAAACCTTGCCCGTTGTATAGTCTGGGACCACAGTCCCTATAGAGGGACTGTGCTGGGACCAACATCAGTGCTATCAAATGAGCGCGGACATTGCTTGTTTCACTATATGCGGTGTTATAGGTAGCCTGCCTATGCTTTATTATTATTACTAATGAAAAGCTGGCAAAAAAAGATCGGAATCTAACAATATTTTATTTATTTTTAAACAGCAAAACTCATCTTAGTTGCATAATTGCTAGCGTTTTTGCTTTATATTTTCTGAAATCGGCGAGGTTCGAGATGCAGGTTTCCTTACCCTTACAAAACCAGTGTTACTATCCGAATGTACACTCGCCCATTTAGTTGGGGAAACTACTAGTATTGCTATATTCCGTTTCAGCTCAAGGCGCCACTGTTTGAGAACGTGCATTGTGGCTTTAAATGGAAATGATTTCCTCACTGCTGAAAAACTGGGACGAGAAAACGTGCTTTATAAAGTAAAAAATATATGAACAATCAATATACTAGTAATATAAAATACACTTCAACATTTTCGTTGTGTGTTACTGTGAACTGAACTAGCGCAGCCAGCACTTAATCACTGGGCTAAAAAAAGACCCATGCACTCAACGGATGATTTGGATTAGACTGGCCCGGCCGGGATAATTTTATTGTTTACATGATAATTGCTTTCAAAAACGATTTTTTTTTA